ATTAGTCAAAAAGTGGCAGCCATCCTAGTGTCATCAGCAATTAAACAGATAAACATGCTGAGAACTATACATACAACAGAAGACTATATACAGCCACAGAATGAGAAGGGTTTCTATTTTGGCTCTTTGGGGGAGGGATTTCCAGAAGAATAGAACCAATAGGGAACATATGTAATTGTAACAGTGCGTTCATTAGATTGCCCTACTCAGAATACAGTGGCTATCTGTATGCTAGAGGCACAGATAATCCATTAGCTTCTCAATAAATGAAACAAAATGTCTCAGAAGAAACAGGACCATTAATGCAGTCTGAGTTTGAAGAAAAAGTCTTTACATTCCTGGTGAGATGTTCTAGAAAAGCTGAAACTGCTCTGCTATCCACAGGGGATGGCAGCAGAACATACTCACTCAAAGGGAATGGAACTTGAATACATCGCCTTTCTGCTTTTCTACTTCATTCTTTCTTGGTCCAGTCTGCCCAGCGGTGCACCCACTGTTAGGGATGGTTTCGCCCCTCTGTTGTTCCGCTACATACAAATCTCCTCTGTCAACACACTTGCACACATAACCAGAGTGTGCTTGACTGTTCCCTAAGCGTCACTATTAGCTCAGTAAAAAACAAACAAAAATATAAAGAAGATAAACAAGAAAGAGGACCTGGGGTAAGATGATCAATCTTCACTTAGAAAGACAAATGGGAGGTGCACTGGACATAGGAGAAAACAAGTAAAAGGACAGGAGCCTACCGCAGAGGGCCCCTGAATGACTACCTGGTAGTGTGTCAAAGCAGATACTAAGACTCATAACCAAACCTTTGGCAGAGTGCAGGGAATCATATGAAAGAAGGGGGCATTTGTATGACATGGAAAGGATGGGAGCTCCACAAAGACCAAATATATCTGGGCACAGGGGTCTTTTCTGGGACTGACACTCCACCAAGGACCATATATGGATATAACCTAGAATCTCTGCTCGGATGAAGCCTGTGGTAGCTCAGCAACCAATTGGTTTCCCATAGTAAGGGGAACAGGGGCTATTTCTAACAGGAACTCAATGGCAGGCTCTTTGACCTCCCCATCCCCCAAGGGAGGAGCAGTTCTGCTAGGCCACAGAAGAGGACTTTGCAGCCAGTCCTGAAGATACCTGATAAAACAGGGTCAGATGAAAGGGGAGGAGGCCCTTTCCAATCAGTGGACTTGGAAAGAGGCAGGGAGGAGATGAGGGAGGGAGGGTTTGGGAGGGAATGAGGGAGCGGGATACAGCTGGGATACAGAGCTAATAAAATGTAACTAATAATAAAAATAAATAAATCAAACAAAAATCTACATTAACCAGCAGTCCCATTTCCTGTTCTATGGCTTCGGAGTCTATAGTGGGACAATATACCGCACACTGTTGTGTGTGGGGTTGGGGATGGGAATCAACTAAAGGCTCACACTTAGAAAGGAAAAAGAAATAGGAAGTTCCTAGTACTCCTTTCAAAGGCACAAAGTTCCAGTGACACAACTTCTTCCCTTCTTGACCTTTCTGTAAAGGTTCCACTATCTTCCAGTAGTAACACAGGCTGAAGACTGAGCCCATAGATAACACTTCCCAAAACTACAGCAAGATTATATACCAAAGCACCTTTGGAGTTTGTATTTGCAGAAACAGTAATGGAAGCATATATATAAAAAATAAATAAATCAAGCATTTATGGGTAACATTAGTATTTAGGCATTACATACTAGTATTTCACACTAACATTTTTTATGGGTTAAAGTGCAGAAATACTTCTGCCCTTGTTATTAAGTTTTTAATCCAGAGTTCTGTTCACTCCATATCATTACCTTGGGATAGCTGGCTGCCTTGTATTCAAATCAGTGACAGTTAAACCTAGGAAGGGCAGAGATCTTGTAGGCTAGTGCAGAATACAATTGGATATGGTAGGTGCACCAAACTTTTGCATATCCCTAGGACTATTGGATCCTGTAAACATAGTACTTATTTAAAACTAAAAAAAATTTATAAACTAAAGCAAGTAATAAAAAGCATCCTAGCTAACAACAACAACAACAAAAAAAGCCATCAGTTAAGAAACTTGAACCATATTTGCACATGTAAATTATACTGTCACAGATAACAGGAGAGCTCAAGGGATGGAAAGTCCTGTAGAGAAGCGTGACTATAGCATACAGAAGAATAGAAAGATAATTCTAGGTCAGATAAAATAGAATCACAAAAAAAATTAAAAAATAAAAGAAAGACAGAACCACTATATATTATCAAATACTTCAAACTCTTTTTGAAATGATTCGAGTTGTTCTGTTTTAAATCAACAGAATTACTTAAAAATATTTGAGTGTTAGAAAACAAACCCAAAATTGGGGAAGTATGAAGAGAAAAAGGAAAGACGAAGTAGAAAGGTAAAAATCCTAAGGAGTAAATGAATGGCAGGGAAATCTGTCATGGTCAAATATACTAAAGAGCACCAATCTGATACTGTTGATAAAAAACAACTCCCTATTGAGATTATAAAAGGAAAAATGAAGGATGACTCAGGTTTCCAGATTGATTGACTAATAGAGTTTGACCTTTAGTATGGAGAATTCTAAATGGAACATTATTCAGAGTTTTGACTGTATAAAATGTGAATATACTGAGAAGCCAAAGATAAAGTATGACATAATATGGATTTCGACTGAAAAGTTATGTGAGTGGCAATGACTTTTTCCATTTTATTTAGGAATGACTAAGAAGACATTTTCCAGGAACAAAAAGATCGTTTACACATAAATGAGACCTTAGTTCAAAGGATACAATCGTAAGGTGATAGTTACAGAAACTTTTGAGCTATCTTTGCAAAAACATCTGTCTTTCCCTAAAATAAGTTAGATATCTGTCGTGTGGAAAACAATCTCTGGGTATTTTTTTATTTTTATAGAAAAATAAATCATAAATATGACTTATCAAGATACATGTAATTTTTCCCTCATTAATGGGACAGTGCTCTTGAAAAAAAAAATGATAGTTTCCTTAGACCAGAAATTAGGACAAACAGAAGTCATAAAGTCATTATGACCAAAGGGATTTTTTAAAATAAAAGCTTTATGTGTGCCCTCACCTTCGCCTTTTCCCTACTAGCAATTAAATTTTTCATGCAGTATATGTTCATATTATTTCATTGCTCTATTCTGGCATGATTATTCCCTCCCCCATCATTAATGGTGGCAATTTCTTAGAAGCTGGCAACAAACCTGCTTCTGTTCTCTCTCCTACTTTCTTGAAAAGTTCGCCCCATCTATAGCTTCAATTTCCAGATACATACCAATAATTTCCCCGAGTCCCTGTCTCTAACCTCCAGACTATTCCTGTTGACTGTAAATACAAATAAACTATTTCTGTACACCCTGAATGTATATGTCTCAAATACACCTCGCACTAGATTCACAAATTCAAGAAGTAAAAATTCAATCACTTCTTTCAAATTTGATGTGCTCTGCTCTAGTGTTCTTATCTGTATTAATGTGTTTTACTATACAGAAATTCAATAGAAACACTCACCAAACTCAACTAGGGTGGGGAAAGGATTTGATTGGCTTAAGGTTACCATTCATTATTTAGGGATGTGATGTAGTAACTGAAGCCTGAAGGAAGGAACTGAAGCAAAAACCATGGAGGAAGGCTACTTACTGATTTAGTTTCCATGGGTTTGTCAGCTCATCCAGTACCACTCATCCAAGAATGGCACCACCAACAGTGGGCTGGGCCTTTCCACATTAATCATTAATCAAGAAAGTGCCTCACAGATCTGAATAAGCCAGTGTGATAGACGTGATTCCTCAACTGAGATCCTCCTGCCTAAGTGATTCTAGTTTGTGTCAGCTGACAGAAACCAGGACAAAGACACCATGTCAGATTCTTGATTCAAAATATCACATAAACATTCCTGATAGGGTCTTTGCTTCCCTCGAAAACTTTACAAGCCAAGCAAAAAGACACACATGGTATATACTCACTTGTAAGTAGATATTAGTCATATAATATAGGATAAACATACTAAAATTTATACTCCTAAAGAAACTAAACAAGAAGGAAGACCCTAGAGCAGTTGCTCAATCCTCACTCAGAAAGCAAATGGGATAGACATCGGAAGTGGAAGAAAACAGGGAAAAAGTACAGGAGCCTACCACAGATGGCCTCTGAAAGACTCTACTGATTGAGGTACTGAAGCAGAGGCTGAGACTCATAGCCAAACTTTGAGCAGAGTTCAGGGAATCTTATGAAAGAAAGGGGAGATAGAAAGACCTGGAGGGGATAGGAGCTCCACAAGGAGAGCAACAGAGCCAAAAAATCTGGGCAAAGAGACCTTTGCAAAGACCAATACTCCAACCAAGGACCACGCATGAAGATAACCTAGAACCCCTGCTCAGAGTAGCCCATGCCAGCTCAGTCTCCAAGTAGGTTCCCTATTAAAGGGAGCAGGGACTGCCTCTGGCATAAACTCAGTGGCCTGCTCTTTGATCATCTCCCCCTGAGGAGGGAGCAGCCTTAGGAGATCACAGAGGACAATACAGCCAGTCCTGATGAGACCTGATAGGCTAGGGTCAGATGTAAGGGGAGGAGGACCTCCCCTATCAGTGAACTGAGGGAGGGACATGGGAAGAGAAGAGGGTGAGATTGGAAGGGGATAAGGAAGGGGGCTACAGCTGGGATACAAAGTGAATAAATTGTAATAATAAAAAATAAATGAAAAATAAAATATACAAAATAGAGAAAACTTTACAAGCAGCCCTCCATCATCTGAAAGTCTCCTAACAGGTCATTAAGCTCTGAGTATTCAAAGGCCTTTTCCTAACTGCTCTTAAATCCTCCCACAATCATTCTTCCAAAACATGGTCAGATTGGTCACAGCGATGTTGGTCATAGCAGTGTCCCAGTATTTGGTACCAGTTTTGGCATTGGTTAGGTTTCTGTTGCTGGGGGTGGGCAGAGCCAAGGAGAGAATTAAACAAAATCAGTTTGGAGGAGGGAAATATTTATTTAGTTTACAGGTTCATGTCAATTATGAAGGGACACAAAGACAGAAACTCAAGATACAAACACTTTGGAAGGAACTAAAGTAGAAAGCATGGGAACATAAAACCTTCTGGCTTACCTTCCATGGCTTGCTTAGTTTACTGCGTTACATAGCCCCAGACTACCTAAACAAGGATGGCACCACCCTTCCCACGTCAATCATTAATAAAGTAACACCCTCCACACACACACAGAAACATGCCATAGGCCAGCGTGATAGAGGCAATTCCTCGATGGAGGGCCCCTCTTCCAAGGTGACTCAAGTTTTTGTCAAGTAGATAGAAACTAACAAGCAGGCTCTCTTAGGGAAATTACTATTCATTCAAGTATCAAGTACAATATTCAGAATCCTGGTGCCTTTTTGATATTTAGCTTTTATTAAATCCCTGCAACCATATCATCAAAGCCAGCCCCTGCTTCCTATCTTACATCTGTTTAATTTTCTGTACACTGTCAACCATCACTCCAAACCAACATCTACCTTTCCCCTAGATTATAAAAGGTTCGTGACTACTACAATTGTCCTGGATGGTATAATTTAGACCTTCTTGAAAGAAACACTTTCTAAATTCCCTCTACAAGAAAAAAAAAATGTATTCAAACACAACAGAAACTTGTAAGCACACCCCATGATACCTCTAAGCATTAATAGTCACCATCCCTCGGTTGGGCACATAATAAATCATCATTAGTAGTCAGCAGCTCCTATCTCATTTGAAAAGTGAGTTGAGAAGCGGTAGAGTACTTGTACAGTCTTTTTACACCTGCTTCGACTCTGCCCTCCCGAAGCCGGAGCTTGCTGTCTGAATTTTCTCAGTCAGTCGCTTCCAGATGATCCTGGGATCATCTGAAAGCCTGGGGAAACCGTGATGTGCTTCTCCAACACGGGTGAGGAAGTCTGTGGTATGAAGGTGTTCATCTATTTTCTCTTGGAGAAGCAGGGACTCCAGGAAGGTCTTCCTTTGTTTCAGGAAGTCGGACTGAGCCAGCTCCGCCCTTTTGCTGTTGCAGCTGGGACACGTGGAAGGGACGTGTTGCTTCACTGCCCTTATGTGCGCTAGGGCTGCCCTCGTGTTCTTCAAATAGACCCTGTTCAACAGTTCATCAGGGACAGCACCATTTAAAGCTTCCACCTCTGAGGTCTCTGCAATCCATCTGCGCTGCAACCTTTTGCGTCTGTTGCTTTTCTGAGCTCTAGAACCCGTTTTCTGGCGGATCAGGTTTAATTTAGTGGTACAAAAAGACTGCAGGGCCTTCAGTTCTTCAGGGGATCTCTCGGGTGTTTCCGTCGGACGTTTTCTGTCGGGATGGTATCTTTCAGCGTTAGTTTCTTTCAGCCTGAGGTGGTTGATCAACTTTTCAGTTAGCTTATTTTCCTCGTTCTGCAGGACTGAAAATTCTGACCGCCCTTCTCGTTCTTCCGAGCTTGTGGTCGGCGTTTCACTCTCTGGGGGGCTCTCAGACGTGGAGGAAAGCGAACAGCTCAGCACCTCATCAGTGCAGGACCCGAGGGTGTCTTCGGAAAGCTGAGTAGCACACAGGTCCGTGTGGGCCGGGCCTCCCTGTTCTTCCTTCGAGTCCCCCTGCTTCTGAGCAGGTGGCCACTCCATTGCTCCCGACTCGGTTCCTCATCTGCTTTGTTCCGGTCAGGAAACGGATCTGGAACCAGTAATGATGAGCCCCTAGGGCCCAATCTTAGATGTCTCTGGGTCCCGGGAGCCTCGGCTTCCGGGTAAGCCTTTCCTGGTTGCCTTAGCAACGCGCAGCGGTCATGCGCAGTGAGCAATCTCCGGCCACCCGCCCCCTTCGCCGCCTCCAGCCTGGGTGGGCTCAGCGGTGTTTTTATTCCTCTCTATGGCTGCTGGGGTTTTTTGTTTTGTTGTTTTTGTTTGTTTGTTTCGTTTTGTTTTTTTGAACACTGTGTGTAGTTCAAGAGAAAAGGTCGCAAAGGTCTTTCCCTCCAGGTCAGACCGGGTGATTCACACAGAGAGTTCCATGGAGACAGACAGAAGGCCTGTGACAAAAGCGATTAGGCAGCTTGCTTCAAGGAACACAGTTTTAACAAAAGTGCTGGCCGGGGTTCCCAGCAAAAATCCGCGTGTCTTAAAGCCAAGGGGGCAGTTTGTAGACATGCAGGAGGAAAACATGGAAACACTGACACTGTTCTCTAGGGCCTCTGCACAGTCCCTCCAGGATTCTGAAGACCTTGAAGTTTTCCCCAAACCCTAGTTTTAGATGTTACCCCTTCTGACTGCCAGGTCAGTATCCTCCTCTCTAGACGCCTCGCTTTATGGCTATTCCTCCTTCAAGTAGGATTTCCACAAGAAGGGCTTCGCAAGCATTTTCTGGGTTCTCTGTATCCGAGTCTTTGATGGAACCTGCTGAAGAATTCTGTTAGTGTGTTTAATACCGGGAATCTGATACCAATTTACACAGGGCGGTGGGGTTTGTGGCATAAGTAATTCCAGCTTATGGAAGTCTAAATATCCTCCCCTCCAATCTTCACGCTGAGGCCCTTACGAATGATACATCCCTTTAAAACAGATACTTTTAACGACATTCTCACAGACCCAAATGGCCTGGCTTCAAAGCCACATGCTGGCAAGCCTAACGATGACCCTAGGACCTATGTATAGTGGAAGGAGTAGAGAATGATTCCCAAATGTACCCTGTCTTCTCTCTCTCCCTTCCTAGCCCTTCCCCCTGTTGTGTGTTCTATCCCTCCCCTACTTTGACAAGGTTAACTGTCTGAAATATTGAAAGATCATCTCAGAATGCGATGGGCCTTCATGTAAAGATAAGGGCTTTCCAACTTCTGTCAAATTAAAGAGGACGAAAAGACATTTGCGGATCTAAGGGATTTCTGACAGTACTCATGTTTTTAAGTCTAAATTTTTACTACAAAGTTCTCCCTCCCCTCATTCTCCCTCTCATATTTCCATGTAATTCACTATTGCCACCCCCAACATGGACTCGATCTTTTAAAGTACATCCTCTAATAGCCTCAATGTGCTAAATAGCCAAACTATTTTTAGTTAGTTATTTTAATTTTAATTTTTAATAATGTTGTAAATTTATCTCAGTTTAAGAAAGAAAATAGCTTTACCTGTGAGAAGAAAACATGAATAGAAAATTGTATAGTGATCATTTTTTAAATAAAAGTAGCAAGAGACTGTGGACAGTTTAACATTCTAGTAATTGTTGTTGAAGAAAGAAATAGCGGCAGCATACTATTACCGTCGGGTAATATTCATGCAGATAGAGGTCTAAGTTTGATTTTTAAAATAGAAGCTGTGATTTTTGTGGACCACAGTTGAGTTTTCAACTGTATGGTGGGGTGAAGTTTCAAGGCATCGCTGTTTAAAATCCATGTACTTATTGTTTGTTTCTAGACTGTGAACGAAAGGTACCATGTATCTATTGATTTCCATGTGTGAGAATAGTCAGGGCTGAGTGTGCAGAATCGAAGCCATTCTGTGGTACTGGCAAAGAGAAGTGCTGTGCTTCTTAGAGAATATGGGAGAAAAAGTGAACAAGCAGGATGCCCCTGATTATTTTTTATTAATTGAATATTTCTTTTTAAATTTATTTATTTATTTATTACAGTTTATTCACTTTGTATCTCTGCTGTAGCCCCTCCCTCATCTCCTCCATGTCCCACTCACCTTTCCTCTTCTCCCCCTATGCCGTTTCCTAGTGCCCTGATGGGGGAGGTCCTCCTCCCCTTCAATATGATCCTACTCTATCAGTTCTCATCAGGACTCTTCCTCTGTGGTCTGGCAAGGCTGCATTCCGCCAGGGAGAGGTGATCAAAGAGTCAGCCACTGAGTTCATGTCAGAGACAGCCCCTCTTGCCCTTACTAGGGAGCCCACTTGGAAACTGAGAAGCCTATAGGCTTCAGTTTCCAGGGGGTCTAGGTCCTCTCATTGGTTGATCAGCATCATACAGAATTATCCTCCAAAATATTGTTTCAAAATTTGGTAGGTATAAACAGATTTTGAATGAAATATGTAGATTAATAAAAGCTCTCCAGCTATAAAATGTGAAATTTTTCATCTATGTTGTTTTAATATTTCCAGAACAGTATTCACGTTACCAGGCTCACGTTTTTAAAAACTAAGATTAAGCGCTGGGAATCCAGCTCAGAAGTAGAATGTTTGCCTCATGTGTGTAAATCTCTAAGCCCATTGTTCAGCACTGCAAATAAGAACGAATAAATAGTTCTAAATAAAATTCTGAAAATGTAGTAGGTTTTTTTATTTTTGCCTAATTTCTAAATATGTGACACCCAGTTTTAAAGTAAATATTTAGAAACAAATTTACTTTTAGTTACTGTTATAGATTAAACTAACAACAGAAAATGTGAGCCCAGGCATTTGAATTTCTCTGTATTATTTTTTAAGACAAATCATAATACAATAAAATATAATAAGATAAATTTTAAAAACATCACATGGAAGTTGGACGAGGAAAACCAATGACTGTACCAGTCTTAAGTAGCATGTTTTTTTTTTTTCATTAAGAAAAGCTGAGACTAATTTCAGTCCTTTTTAAAAATAAATTTATCATTTGAATCAAGGTATTTGTAGGGGTGTTTTCTTTTAAGTGCTTTACAGAAGGGATCTGTTTTAAGCCCTTCTTTTTGATTAGTAGATGGTCATTGTTATATGACCATTTGATAGTTTCTCTCTATGCACGGCTCTATATCCAAATTTCTCTTTTTACAAGGATGCTAGCTATATGAGATTAAGGCACAACCTAATGACCTCATTTTAACTTGATTATCTCTGTAAAGACCTTGTATCCAAATAAAGTCACATTCTGCATTTAGTGTTGCTGGAGATCAAGACTGCAAAGTAAGAATTTAGGTTGTATGGAAATCAGATTAAAAGCTAATTAATTTAGGGTAGATGTTTAGTTTGAAAATTGCCAGTAACCTATTTTCTGGAGGGAGGAAAGGAATGGTTAAATATAGGGACCTTACTTTGAATTAATAATACATTTTGGGTGTAGGAGAAAATGGTGCAAAGCTCTAGTTTCCATCATCAAAATTGAAAATAAATAATAAATAAATAGTGTCATGAGATGGGCTCTTTCAGAGGAGAAATTATTAAAATCTTGATGAGCTAGTACCCAGAGAGATTACTAGCCTTTTATGATTCAAGTAAGAAAACATTGCTCTCACTGGAAAACATGTAAAAGTATGTTTTGATTGACATGTTTTGGGAAGTTTAATTATTTTAGACATTGAAACAATAATTTTTCATTGTTCGACCTGATTATCAGATAAAATTTCAAAGTATTTGAAAGTACTATCTCCATAACCAAGGGCAACAATAAAATTTAGTAACAAATACTGGTAAGTATGAGTTTGAATGGCATGATGGCTTTTACTACTTTGTTTTAATAATTCTAGAATGTCAATGAAAAAATGTATTTTTCTGCAAAACATAAACCTCTGCCTTATTATGTCTACTTCCTTGTGGCTAAAGTCGAGGATGATTCTCAGAATCCTTGTGTGATTTGAAAGGCACTCAGGCCCCTGAGAATGCACAATATTTTTGAAGACTGACATGCAGATCAAACCTACGAAGTAATATAAGCAAAAATCTGAATATAATGTATTTCCCTTCAAAGCAGAGAGGATCTATAAAATGAATTCAGAAATGGTGCCTTGAATCTGAGTTTGAGTTATATACTTTGATGTTTTGGGAGAACTCAGGAATCTGTGGCTCTAGATGATTGGCCTGGAGTTCACAGTGGTTTTCCTGAAAACTATTACGCAGAATTACTTCTCTACCACTCAATATCTTGCAAAGGCATTTTACTGTAATTTTCTACTTACAAAGCAAGCTTTCACAGCAAAATGAATATTCATGTGATTGCATAGGGTTGGGTAACATTGAAATTGCAAATCATTTCATTCAAGGCCACTCTTTCCATAAAATCATTTTTTATTAAAGTGTTCATAGTAATCATAAAAACAGAACCACACTCTGAAAAGACATATAGTGTAACATATTGAGCTCACAAGCCAAAGTTATTTTATCTCCTTATTTTAGATAGGAATTTTCCAAAAACAAACTGTATCACTGAAGAATGTAAGGCTGTTTCTCTAGAGCCTGCTATGCTTAACGTGAAAGCTGTCAACCCAACAGGCTGGAACAGAGCAAGATTATGAGAGCCAAGTGAATAGCTCATTCTTTGCGGCCATGCGCTTGCTGCATGCCGCCATGTGGTACAAGACTGAGAGGTATGCACTGTGATAGCTAATGAAGCGCTTCCTTTATGTCACACTGACCAGAGCTCTGATTTGAAGCTTGTGTATTATGCTGCTGTGATCTGACAAGAGCAGCCTTTGTTCTCACCAGCAAAGGCTGTTTCTTGTCCTTTCCTGGCTGTATCTCATGCACCAAGCTTGCTAGACCCTCTGTTTACTAAGCAGTGCAGACCTAAGTCAGCAAACCCGCTCCTGTTACTTATTAAGCTTGCTTTTGCTTTCCTCTGCTTCTTTCTTAAGACACCCTCCTCCCAGATACCAAAAACTTGTCATTTTGTGGCCACTTAGAGATAACAGGCTTGGAACTTTTATGTCATTTCCCTCCCAACATTACTCTTCTGTGTCAAACACACTAATCAGTTAACATTATTTTAACAAGCAGCAGGAAGCAATGCATAGGATTCATGCACTGCATGATCCTAAGTGTAAAACTAGAAAGCAATGAATAC